GAGTATAAGGCCGACTGAAGAATTTGAGGGTCAAAACAAGTCCATCAAATCTAGAGTACGTTCCACCCTGCTGATATGGGATACTTTTGCTTTTCACAGAGTAATGAATGTATCGGCACGTGTGCTGTTACGCTTGTCTCCACATGCTTCCTTGTATCCTTCGCACTTGCCCTATCTGTTCCTCAAGCAGATGCGGAATCTTCCCTGGAAACATAAGATGTTGAAGATGAGTACTCGAGAGCAATGCCAGGTAAGTAATCAGGTAAGGGGTTCCAGGCAGTCAGTTCCTGGCTGGAAGCTTGATTCCAAGTGCTGACTGATTGCTCTCTTTCTCCTTGTCTTGCAGGTAAAAACAAGGCCAAAAGAAAAGACAGGGAAAAAGCATGACATGGGATACTCTTGCTTGCTTTTAACCCTGATGATATGAGATATTCTTGCTCTAGTATAGCTTGTTTGCAGAGGTATTATCGGGGGGAAAGAAAGCTGAATATTTCGAAAGGCTTCGTTGGGAGTGCCCTCTCAGATATATGATGAAGGGTTGAGCATTTTTGCAGGTCTGCCTGTCCGTTGGGGATGGAGGTCGACATATATAGGAGTCTCCCTAACAACAAGTAGTAATGCTATTCCTTTACCCTGCTTGGTCATAGCACGGTAGTGGGAGCTGCCAGTTTCACATGTTTTAACTCTGTCAGAGCACTTTGAAAAAGTGGTCTGTGGTATCTGGCTCTCGAGATTCGGAGAACGATGCCTCTTCGATTTTTGAGAAAGCAATCATGCTGGGGGTATGACTCTCGAGATTCGGAGAGCAGTGTCTCTTCGATTTTTGAGGAAGTAATCATGTTGGGAGTCTGGCTCTCGAGATTCGGAGGGCGGTGCCTCTTCGATTTTGGAGCAAGCAATCTTGTTGGGAGTGTTGTCTCGAATGTGAGTAAAGGTTGGGCATGTTTGCTAGTCTACCTTGCCACGAAGCACAAAGGTTGACACACAGGGACTTTCCAATTATCCAGCAATGGTACTGTTCCTTTACCCTCTCTTCGATTTTGAGAAAGTAGTCATGTTGGGAGTCTGGCTCTCGAGATTCGGAGGACGGTGCCTCTTCGATTTTGGAGCAAGCAATCTTATTGGGAGTGTGTTTTCTCGAATGTGAGTAAAGGTTGGGCATGTTTGCTAGTCTACCTTGCCACGAAGCACAGAGGTTGACACACAGGGACTTTCCAATTATCCAGCAGTGGTACTGTTCCTTTACAGTTGTGGGTAATAATATGGTAGCTAGACCTTCAAAATTTATGTGTCTAAACTTTTGTTAGTGCTGTTTCTTTGCTATTCTTTTACCTTTCTTGGTCAGAGCGATGTAGTGGGAGCTGCAAGTTTCACGTGCTCAACTTTGGCAGAGAACTTTGGCAAAGTTATTTTTGTGGTACCCATGAGCTATTGTTGCGTGTGGGAAGTGGGTGATTGAACAGTAAGATTCATGTGCTTTCTACTTCACCAGAAGTCTTCGACAGAATGCCCATAATTTCTGCAAAGCTGAGTGTGCGTGTGACAGATGCTGACAAGGCTAGAAAAGTAGGTGCCTCTTCGATTTCTGAGATCGGCCCTCGTGGTCTCTGAGCAGCCCAGCTTTTGAGAAAGCGAGCGCCTCTTCGATTGATTCGGAGAACGATGCCTCATCGATTTTTGAGAAAGCAATCATGCTGGGGGTCTGGCTCTCGAGATTCGGGGAGCAGTGTCTCTTCGATTTTTGAGAAAGTAATCATGTTGGGAGTCTGGCTCTCGAGATTCGGAGGACGGTGCCTCTTTCGATTTTGGAGCAAGCAATCTTGTTGGGAGTGTTTTCTCGAATGTGAGTAAAGGTTGGGCATGTTTGCTAGTCTTCCTTGCCACGAAGCACAGAGGTTGACACACAGGGACTTTCCAATTATCCAGCAATGGTACTGTTCCTTTACCCTCTCTTCGATTTTTAAGAAAGTAGTCATGTTGGGAGTCTGGCTCTCGAGATTCGGAGGACGGTGCCTCTTCGATTTTGGAGCAAGCAATCTTATTGGGAGTGTTTTCTCGAATGTGAGTAAAGGTTGGGCATGTTTGCTAGTCTACCTTGCCACGAAGCACAGAGGTTGACACACAGGGACTTTCCAATTATCCAGCAGTGGTACTGTTCCTTTACCCTTGTGGGTAATAATATGGTAGCTAGATCTTCAAAATTTATGGGTCTAAACTTTGTTTGTGCTGTTTCTTTGCTATTCTTTTACCCTTCTTGGTCAGAGCGATGTAGTGGGAGCTGCAAGCTTCACGTGCTCAACTTTGGCAGAGAACTTTGGCAAAGTTATCTGTGGTACCCATGAGCTATTGTTGCGTGTGGGAAGTGGGTGATTGAACAGTAAGATTCATGTGTTTTCTACTTCCCCAGAAGTCTTTGACAGAATGCCCATAATTTCTGCAAAACTGAGTGTGTGCGTGTGACAGATGCTGACAAGGCTGGAAAAGGCTGGAAAAGTAGGTGCCTCTTCGATTTCTGAGATCGGCCCTCGTGGTCTCTGGGGAGCCCAGCTTTTGAGAAAGCGAGCGCCTCTTCGATTTTTGAGATCGGCCTTCGTGTGGTCTTTGAGCTGCCCAACTTTTGAGAAAGCAAACGCCTCTTCGATTTCTGAGATCAACCCTCGTGATCTCTAAGCAGCCCAGCTTTTGAGAAAGCAAACGCCTCTTCGATTTCTGGGGCAGGCGCCTCTTCGATTTCTGAAGCTTCGTCGAATGCAGATTTTTATAAGGGCTGGCATTAAGTTCCAAAGCACACTTGAATCTCCACCAGTAGAAGCTTCATTCTTGCACTTCTAAGATCTTGATTTGTCCGACCTCTTCTCTCTTCAACACCTTTGAAAATGTCTGGCCCCTCCGACCGTCGTTTTGACTTGAACCTTGTTGAAGAGGCAGCCCCGCCTTCTCCAGACAAACATATGGCGCCCATCCTTCGTCTCCCCTACTGGTCCTCTTACCGTTGGGGATTCCGTGATGAAAAATGATATGACCGCTGCGGTGGTGGCCATGAACCTTCTCACTCCCAAAGATAACAGACTACTTTCCAAACGGTCTGATGAGTTAGCTGTTAAGGATTCGCTGGCTCTCAGTGTTCAGTGTGCAGGTTCTGTGTCTAATATGGCCCAACGCCTATTTGCTCGAACCCGCCAAGTTGAATCATTGGCGGCTGAAGTGATGAGTCTCAAACAGGAGATTAGAGGGCTCAAGCATAGAATAAACAGTTGCACCGGCTCGCACATGACTATGCTACAAACATGAAGAGGAAGCTTGACCAGATGAAGGAAACTGATGGTCAGGTTTTACTTGATCATCAGAGATTTGTGGGTTTGTTCCAAAGGCATTTATTGCCTTCGTCTTCTGGGGCTGTACCGCGTAATGAAGCTCCAAATGATCAACCTCTGATGCCTCCTCCTTCTAGGGTTCTGTCCAGTACTGAGGCTCCAAATGATCCCCTCCGGTGCCTTCTCTTTCTGGGGCTCTACCGACTGCTGAGACTTCTCCTAAGCAACCTTTGTGAAAGCTCCCTCTTGTGTGCTTATTTGTTGACTCATGTATATGTACATATTTGTAGCTTATCGGGGATATCAATAAATAAGTTTTCCTTCATTTCAACGTATTGTGTTAAATACACCAAAGCCTTCTTCGCTAAGTTCTTTGAATTTTCTTTTGTTAAAGCTTGCATGTTGAAGCTTTCTGAGTGGAGCATGTAGTTGTTGGGGTAGTGTTCCCTTAATTTCCCGAGTGAGGAAAACTTCTCGGTTGGAGACTTGGAAAATCCAAGTCACTGAGTGGGATCGGCATATGAATCTTAAAACGCCATTGTGCTCGATCCTGTGTCATGTCCTTCGTTAGATCCAAGTTACTCTAAGTCTTTTCTTAGAGTTTCTTCCAAAGTTTTCCTAGGTCTTCCTCTACCCCTTCGGCCCTGAACCTGTCCCATAGTCGCATCTTCTAATCGGAACAGTAGGCCTTCTTTGCACTTCTTTTCATGTCCAAACCACCGTAACCGATTTTCTCTCATCTTTCCTTCAATTTCGGCTACTCCTACTTTACCCCGGATATCCTCATTCCTAATCTTATCCTTTTCTCGTGTGCCCACACATCCAACGAAGCATCCTCATCTCCGCTACACACCCATTTTGTGTACGTGTTGATGTTTTCACCGCCCAACATTCTGTGCCATACAGCATCGTCGGCCTTATTGCCGTCCTATAAAATTTTCCCTTGAGCTTCAGTGGCATACGGCAGTCACACAACACGCCGGATGCACTCTTCCACTTCATCCATCCAGCTTGTATTCTATGGTTGAGATCTCCATCTAATTCTCCGTTCTTTTGCAAGATAGATCCTAGGTAACGAAAACGGTCGCTCTTTGGTATTTCTTGATCTCCGATCCTCACCCCTAACTCGTTTTGGCCTCCATTTGCACTGAACTTGCACTCCATATATTCTGTCTTTGATCGGCTTAGGCGAAAACCTTTAGATTCCAACACTTCTCTCCAAAGGTTAAGCTTTGCATTTACCCATTCCTGAGTTTCATCTCTATCAAACACTATATCGTCTGCGAAAAGCATACACCAAGGAATATCATCTTGAATATGTCGTGTTAACTCATCCATTACCAATGCAAAAAGGTAAGGACTTAAGGATGAGCCTTGATGTAATCCTACAGTTATGGGAAAGCTTTCGGTTTGTCCTTCATGAGTTTTTACGGCAGTCTTTGCTCCTTCATACATATCCTTTATAGCTTGGATATATGCTACTCGTACTCCTTTCTTCTCTAAAATCCTCCAAAGAATGTCTCTTGGGACCCTATCATACGCTTTTTCCAAATCTATAAAGATCATGTGTAAATCCTTTTTCCCATCTCTATATCTTTCCATCAATCTTCCGGCAGTGAAAGGTTCTGATTTGCTGCATTCAGTACCTAACTCTGAAAAGTTCTCAACCTTCCAAATATGCTTGCACATAACAGCATCCTTGATCATCGATATTGACTCTCTATTGCCAGCTCTTCTTTCTTTACAAACGAAGACCTCAGCTCCAATCACACAGGAATCGTCAACAACATATCCGTTGGAAGCATCAGTAAACGATTTAAGAGTGACAAGCTTATCAAATCCGAATAACGCATCATCCCATGGAAACATTTTTCCTTTTTATTGGCATCTATGGAATATGCAAGGTACAAAATAATGATCAGAAAATGAGCAATGAGCACTGAACTTTGCAAACAAGAAAATTTCCGGTCTATGAATATGCTCACTTGATGAGAATTAACTTTTGGTGTAGGTAAAATGTACCTTGAAGAACCAGGAACATGCCTTTATTCTGATCAAGCAAAGAGAACCTGAAATCAACATATACTTCGCTTCCAGTCTGAAGTGAATCAGCTCCAACCATTTCCAAGTAAACAGAGATATAACCTTCCACATTTTTCTTCTTGTTTCCATTCGGGTAGAGCACTAGTTTCCTGAGAGCAAACATACAGTATGGCTAACATCTTTTTTTAACCAGCTTACACCGCACGTGATACACGAAACACATTATTGCAGTACAAAGAAAGAAAATATCATAGAACTAATGTCAGACAGTGAGTGTGAAACATAAGTTTGCAGAAGATGATGTTAAACTCAAACTTTAGCAGATGATATAACGTGGGATTTACCATTTGTATCCTGCAGCTTCAAATTCTCCCGACTCATATTTGTCCGCCAAAAGTTTGGTTAGCAATGAAAATGACGCGATTTTTAGAGTGTAATGAGTTGGAGGTGAATCTGAATATGATGTCGAAAACCCTGAAAAAAAAAATAGTGTTAATGGAAGCACATATTGTTTATACTAAAACCATTAATATAAATCAGAAAAAACTATTTAACCATTTTGTTGAAAGAGATGACAAGCCATGGCAATAAAATTGAAATTGATTATACTGTTAAGGCTATACAATTATATTTTGCTTGAAGAGGAGCTTACCTATATATAATGTCATTAGAGAAGCAAGTACGAGCATCTAATGGAGAGATTTTTTAGTATGATCGGAACACAGAGTGAAACACTTCATGTTATTATATACTTAAAAAAAATCTTCCCTCTAATTATATAATGTCATGTGGCATACGACCCTTTTTCCGAATAAATTGAAAAATCTCTTTATGCAATGAGTTTGCTGCACATTGGACAAGATATGTCTTTTCATCTCTATATCGTACTAAATTTAATAAATTTCGGTGTGCAATCTCTTTCTTTTCCGATTCATTAAAAAAAAGCAACAACACAAAGCACTCTTTTCCGATTCATACATTGTGGATACCTCGGATTTGTTAAAATTTGAAAGTGAAAATATTGTATAAAGGAAGACTCCAACACTTTAATCTTCAAACCATACAAAGGTCTTTCTTCAAATTCCCACACAAAGCACTCAAACCTTTCTTCCCAAGCACGATGAGGCAATATTCATGCCCATTAAAATGAAATTTGGAACCTTGAATTAGCAACATAACTTGAACCCGAGGCACTGAACCAGTTATAATCTAGGCACTGCTTTGCGAGAATAGAAGAATACGAAAAGGTTCTCAGTTACTGCTGTTGCGACTATAGATTTAGGCGTAGGTTTGTAGCTCTATTGAGCCAATTTCAACTTTTTCTTTTTTGCTTTGCTGTCAACTTTTTCTTTTTGCTTTTCTTCTCTTTTTCTTGCACCCATAGTCCTCACTCTAATGAAAGGGTACGATAACTTAATACAAGTTCGGGTACTATTAAAATTGTAACGTTCCGATCTCAAGATATGACAAAAAAAAATTAAAGTAAATTGCAGTTTAGTATCTTTAAGTTTTGTGGTTTTCAATATTTAGTACATGAATTTTTTTTTGTTTCAGAATCATACCTAAAGTGTTAATTTTGGGATAGTTTTATACATCCATTAGTCTGATTTTTAAGTCTCTCGTTAACTGATGACGTGACGTCCATGTGGACAATGATTAAACGCCACGTATCATTAAGAGATCCACGTGAAAATTAAAATCATTTAATTAAATATTAAAAACTAAAAAAATAAAATCATTTAATTTTTTTTTTTGCATGGGGAACCTACCCCTTATCTCCCTCGCCTTTCTTCCCCGCTCCCGTCTTCCCCCAACTCCCTCACCTCACTTGCTCCCTCAGGGCCAGTCCTGAGAATTTGGGGGCCCTAAGCCAGCCCTTGAAGTGGGGCCATAAAATTCTCTGATCTCCGATTCTTTGTATATTGATTTGTATAAAAAAGAATTTGCTAAATGCATAAAAAGTTCTATTTTCACATCAAATATCATTAAAAATTAATATAAAAAGGAGATAAATATACAAAGATTATTTAAACATTATACGATTCACGTTTTTAGACACAGATGTACTAAATGTTTGCAGTCAAGAGTTTAAGATTTAGAGTGAAGAATAATAAAACTTGATGATCAAGAGAGTAGATAACAATAAAACTTGATTGACGAGTATAATAAATTCAACATCAATTGTTCTCTTGTGTTTTTTCCTTCTAAAATCAACATCACACTAACGAATTGAATATTAAAATAATCCATTAAATAAAAAGTTATTGAAAAGAAAATTATAAAATTCAAAGTTTTGATTACCTTAAAGTACAATCTTTAAGACCATATGATAGTTGGTTTAAACATTCAATAAAAATAAAGAGAATTGGAAATTGGTTTAAACATTCGATAGAAATTGACAGAATGAGAAGTTAAAAGAAAAAAGATTGCAAAAAAACTTGAGTTTTATAACTTTATATGTATTTGGACAGATGGATTGAGAGTTGAACAAATGAATTAGCAGTAAATTTGAAAAATACGAAAAAATTAAGAAAAATTTAATGACTAAAAGGCAGCTTTGTGTTTCGAACCCAACACCCCAATAAAAAATGAAGCCAACATTTCTACTGCATTAACAAATAAATTATGATATTTCTTACTTTTTTTTTTTTTCGTATTTATATGTTGTTACAAGATATAAAATTTTGGGTAAATTACATAGTAACCCCTCAGGTTTGAGGTATATTGCAATCTTATACAACATCTTTAAAACATTTCACTTTCATACCTCAAGTACTATTTTATTTCAATTTCATACATCCGTTAGAAAATATGTTAAATAAACAGTTAACTGATGACGTGGCAAATAAAGGGTCCTTTTTTATGCTGACGTGGCTGCCACATTTGTGCCACGTGGCTAAACACTTAATAAAAAAATTCAAATAATTAATTAAAAAAAAAAAAAAACCGAAACCATGTTCGTCTTCCCCACTCTCTCTCTCTCGAACCCCATACCCCCTAAAATCCCCAGATCCAAAACCCAAAATTCCCAGATCCAAAATTCCCAGTTCTCGACCTTCAACCACCACGAGAATCTCATCCCGATTATCCACTCCCAAGCTCCCCAAACCGCCATTTTTCACCACACCACCTCTCCCTCTCTCTTACCCAAGCCACTGCCATTATTCATTTCATCAACCCAAAAGACAAGAGCCACCCCCACTTCACCACTCGAACAGATGCAGCCACCCACCCACCCATTTTATCTCAATCCAAAACCAAAGCCTCTCCTAACCCACCCCAGAATCCAATAGTTTCAAGGAATTGTAGAACCTTACAATTTCAAAAACCAAAAACCCACTTCAAATTTCAATCTTCTCTCTCTTCGTCTTCTGGTTTTTTTTTTTTTAATCAATTCTCTCTTCCTTTTCTGGGTTTTGCGGCAGAGGATGGTGGGTTTGCGCTTGACGGGAGGAATAGTGCAGGGACTCGGCATTATACATTGCTGCCGCCCTCCCATTTGCTTTCGGGTAAGGATGGACAGAATACTTTGAGGAGTCCATATATGCCTCTGCGCCTGCAAAAAGAAAAAGTGAAGGAAGATACAGCAGTTGCCAAAGCCAAGGCAAAAGGGTTTTGCTTGTTGGGCTTTAGAAATTTGGATTTAGGGTGGGGAAAGATGGTAGAAAACCACACGGCAGTCGTGCGGGGGAGGGGGCGATGGTTGTTTGGACGGGGAATGTTTTTGGAGGCGCAGTGGGGAGGGAAATGGTTGCGGGTGATGGGGGATGGGGGAAGGGGTGGGTGTTGGGGGGTGCGAGGGTGGGCACGGGTGGGGATTCTGGGGAAGGAGATCTGGTTTTTTTTTTTTTTTTTTTTTTTTTTTTAAACTTTTCTTTAAATAATTATTTTAATATTTTATTAAATGATTAGCCATGTGGCACAAATGTGGCAGCCACATCAGCACAAATGTGGCAGCCACGTCAGCATTTAACAGATTAATGGACAGAAAATCTAACGGATATATTATTTTGAAATAAAATGGTACATGTGTATGAAAATGAAATGTTTTAAAGACATTGTATGAGGTTGTAATAGAGCTCAAACCTGATGGGATACTATGTAAATTACCCTAAAATTTTTCTGGACGCTTCCGAAGTGGGCCGTAGGCGGGCGCCTAGTTGGCTACCCTCAGGCCTGCCCTGTGCTCCCTCGCCACTTCCGCCTCACCTTGCTGAGCCGCTGCTCGGCGTCTCTGAAATTCTCGTTGTAGAACCTCCGGGCGGCTTTCGAGTACTAGGGCTCGGCCGCGGGCACGCGCTTCTGAGGAGTATGGAGGCAAAGAAAATTCACAACAAATGATTCCGAAGAAGTATTCGTCTCAAAAGAACTAATTTTTACTGAAATTGGACAAAGTAATACTGCCAATCAAGCTTTCCTCTGTCCTTAACATTAACAATCTTAAAACTAATTTCAACTGTCAAACAAGACTATTGTCAAAAAGTCTCCAATTCCCAATTTTTTGAAACGAAATAATGTTCAAGCCACAAAAACACAACAAAAAAGGCATACCTTTATCAATTTCCACACAATAGAAAGCCCCAAATTTATTTACTTTTCACAAAAGAAAAAAAAAAAAACCTCCTTTTCCATTGAATCTGCTTCTCCTCGTGATTAATTTGACACAATCCACGACTCACAGCACAGAGAGAGAATTACAGCAACAAAGAGTAAATTTCAAAGGTCACTGAACCGATCCCAAATCGAGTACTTGCCTTGTTTCATGTGATGTTGAACTCCTGAGAAGAGGAGGAAGTGGCGAGGGAGCAGGTGAGGCGGGGGAGTGTGCGGATGGGGATGAGAGAGAGGGAGGGTGGGATCAGCGTTGGGGGAAGATGGGAACGGGGAAAAAAAGGTGTGGGTCCCCATGTAAAAAAAATAAATAAATGATTTTATTTTTTTAGTTTTAAATATTTAATTAAATAATTTTAATTTTCACGTGAACCCCTTAATGACATGTAACGCTCAATCATTGTCCACATAAGTACCACGTCATCAGTTAAAGGAAGACTTAATAGTTTAGATATGATTCTGGGATGAAAAAAATTTCATATACTAAATGTTGAAAATCCAAAACTTGAGGGTAGTAAACTAAGATTTACCAAAAAAA